CAAATCCGCGTTTCAAATGCGTTGCGTTGGTCTGGGGTCTTGGTCGCTGTGTGAATTCTAGCGAACAGGCGCATCTTCAATGGTGGTCAAGCATGACACCATGTTCGAAGTGACGCTCGTATTAAGGAATATTCATGAAGCGGCGGACGCGGACAACGTGGGCCTGTTAACGGTGAGTGTACTGTTTTCGTAGGTAGTAATCATACAGCGCTAGCTGGGCGCCTGCAGCAGCTCTGCTGAAGTAGGCTGCCAGCCATTTACAACAGCATGCGTTCGCGGGCCTGTTGCAGCTGCCCGATTAAACGTGTGACTTAACGAGTTCACACTGCTATGCGCGATGTTGTGTAAGTGCCTGCATCACTCATACAGTGAGTGATGTGATCACTTAACAAGGGCGCGATTAGTTGCTGATCGCACATTGTCTCTACACTGCTCAAAGTGATTGATATAGTTTCAAGATGCGGTTTAGGCTACATCGTAATAACATTTCTATTAATACTCAAATCTGCAACGTGCTTCTGTAGGTGTAAGCGTAAAAAAAGAAAGAAAAGAAAAAAATTATGTACAGAGGTGCAATGTACGAAATGGCTTTTTTTGCTTAAATACAGTATACTTTGAGGTGCTGATATGCCGCGATGCTCCCAGCACGTGCACGTCGGTCTTTTAAAATATTTAGGACACGTGTCACCAGCAACAGGGAAAGATCTAGTAGACTTCCAAAGGCGCGTTGTTGTGGTCATCGCCGTGCGTTGTTTTACCTCGTGTCTGTTTGCTGTTTTCGTGCTTTGCTTTCATCTGCGATAACGTTCGGCGTTATAATGAAATCCACAAAGTATACGTGACTGTGGGAGCTATGTGCTGTAGCTCTACCATAAGCCATGGCTGCTGCAACGTAGACGGCGTCCGCGTGCGTTGGTGTCGTTCGAGCGCTCCTTCTTGCTTGATTGTGTTTAACTGAGTTTTTAGGCATGGGTTACGTTTGTAAATCCCATGGTCAATAATCGCTAATAGCGTGCCCCTGATTGCCATCAGAGGATGGGCTTGGTTGTCGAAATATGCCAGACGCTTTTTCTGAAAGCAAGCTTTGAATAATTTTTTTCAAAAGAAATACTTTCATACGTGCTAGGCAGTGCCTATTACAGGCCCGACACTCTTTAAAAGCTGGACGAGCTATCACATCTTTTATCAAATTACAATGAATTAAGACGATTGAATTATAAATGACGAATTTCTGTGCTACATTAGGTGTACAAAATACATGTTCGCAGCCTTACGTCTAGAAAGCAGGCAAATAGGAAGCACAGCATCAAATTTGGATTAGATGCCATGGACGGAGCTTCTTGTGAGGGTAGAAAGAACGAGAAAATTGTTCATTTTTGATGCCCTTATAGAGGCAGTCATATTTGCACTGATTGGTGAATTGTCACAATTCTTAAAGTCGTTAGAGGCGTGATTAAAATCAGTAAATCTTGTACTTTTTTTGCAGACCTCTTCGCTAGTGTCACGCCCAAGATCATTTGTTTGTATTTATTCATACTGTCAGCCCAAGGGCCAAGACAGGACTTGGGGTTACATATCTGGCATGTACAAAGAACATATGTGGAAACAATTTTCACACTGTACGCTCAAGACGCACACTATATGGAAATAACAAAACAAAAACGCAAAACTACATCAGAATACATACCGCATAGGTCACGGATAAAAGAAACATGTTCGAATGCATCTCGTACAAGTCACCAAAAAAAGAAAAAAGTTTTGCAGTGATATAATACATATTGAACATATTGATATAGTACATTCAACATATTCAACCAAGAAGAAACAAGCAATTTGGTTACAAATATTCTGACAAAGTCTTTTCGAACCCTTTGCAAATCGCAATGTTCGACAATGTATTGAGGTAATTGATTCCAGTCATCGATGCTCCGAACGAAAAACGAATACTTGAATAAATCTGTTCTGTCGCTAAGTGTGATATGTTTCGAGTGTTTTGTTCTGGATGTGGTAAATGGCTGTAGTACAATGTGTTCCTTTAGGTGAACCTTGTAGTATCTATTGAGTATGTGAAAAAATAATATCAGTCGATTATGTTGCATTTTTCAGTTCACCGTCATTAAAGCGGCTCTGTCTCTAAGCTCACTAATAGGCTGAGTTCTGGAATAGGACTTGAAGATGAACCGTAAGCTTTGTTTTGTATACACTCACATTTTAGTGCATTTGTTTTGGTGTATGGGTTCCCATAGATGACTTGTGTAGGTCAGTACTGGAAGAATAGTCATTTTATACGCCATTGTTTTAGCTTCCGGGGTGGCATCGTGAAGTTTTCGTCGTAACAACCAAAGTTTACGCATGGCTTTATTGAAAACACTGTCAACATGCATAAACCAGTTCAAGTCATGTGTAAGATGAACACCTAGAAACTTAACATTCTTTACTTCAGTCAGCACTGTGCCTTTAATGCTGTAAGAAAAGGATAACGCGTCTTTTTTACGTGTCATGCGCATGAAGAGAGTTTTTGATGCATTCAGTTCCAATCGCCATTCGTCGCACCAAAGACTAAATTTTTGTAAATGGTTATCAAGCTCCAGCTGATTCTCAGTGGAGCTTATCTTCGCATACAAATGATGTCATCTGCATAATGTTTTATAGCTATTTGCTGAGAAAAATCGGCACCCATGTCACTGATATAGATAGAGAAAAGTAAAGGGCCTAATACGAACCCTTGCGGCACGCCTGATCTGACGGGTTTATTAGTGCTGGAGACATTATTTAATTCAAAAAATTCAATGCATCGGTGACGAGCAGCGTCATGACGCGTCCTTGCGTGCTATAATTGAGCGCCTTGAATCACCATCTTCCAATCAGTCCTATCGCTCATTCATGCTCCACGATGGTGTATTATACTGCCAAAGTTTTGAGCCGGATGGACCGGCCCTGCTTCTTGTCATTCCGAAACACCTTCGCTCGGAAGTTCTACATGAACTTCATGACCTTTCGATTACTGGTCACTTTGGTGTGTCACGCACTTATGACCGAACACGCCGACGCTTTTTTTGGGCAGGGCTTGCGCGATCAGTCAGAAGATACGTTGCAGCTTGTGAGAAATGTCAGTGCCGCAAAGCACTATCGACACTTCCCGCCGGATGCCTTCAACCACTTGACATTCTGTCAGAACCATTCTTTTACGTTGGCTTTGGCCTATTTGGCCCTTTTCCTCGGGTAACAAGTGGATAGTCGTGGCTACCGACTACGCCACGCGCTATGCCATCACACGAGCTCTTTCAACAACCTGCGCCACAGATGTCGCCGACTTCTTTCTCAGGGACATGATTTTGCAACACGGAGCCCCACGACAGCTGCTTACAGACCGTGGCCGCACCTTTTTTCGAAGGTCATAGCCGACATCTTGAAGTCCTGTCAAACGAGACACAAGCTGACTACGTCATACCACCCGTAAACCAATGAACTCACGGAGCGTGTTAATCGAACTCTCACAGACATGCTCGCTAAGTATGTTTCCACCAACCACACCGACTGGAATCTCGCGTTGCCGTACGTCGCATTTGCCTACAATTCTTCTCGCCATGACGCTGCCACTTAGTCTCCCTTTTTTCTGTTGTTTGGCCTAGAACCTACATTTCCCCTAGATACAGTCATGCCATCTATCGCGACACCGACCAGCGAATTTGCTCTTGACGCTATCACTCGGGCTGGGTACGCACGCGAAATCGCCCGCACTCGCTTTCTGGCCTCTCAAGAGAACCAGCGGCGTTTGTACGATCAACGGCACCGTGACTTGCACTTGTTACCTCGTTCGTTGGTGCTGCTGTGGTCAGCGGTCTGCAGTGGTCTGCAGTGGTCTGACCCGGGAAGTGGGCTTGTAGGAAAAACTTCTTTCCCGCTACACAGGTCTATATCGAGTCCTTCGTAAGGTTACTGCTGTGACATACGAAATTGCCCCTGCTGCCCCATCGCCTTCAACTGCCTCACAGAGCACCGATATCGTACATGTGGCACGCTTGAAGCCTTACCACTCTCCCGCTGACGTTGACATTTGGATGCACCGAGACGGCGCTTCTGCCGCCGGGGATTATATTACATGCATGTTACATTTTCTCGGATGATGTGCGTGTGTGCCTGATGAAGAGGTCGAAGAGTGGTCTGGTCTACCGGTCACGCCGCTGCTTCTACTGGTGGTTTGAAATATTTCATCCACAGCCTAGATAGACGCCGCCTACACGGCATCTCTCTTCCGTAACAGTATTTTCTCAAGTAATCCACACGTAATCCCTCAAGTATTAGGCGTTTTAATCAACGTAATGTCTAACAATTTAAAAGTCTTATTGTCGAAAATACGTTTGTGCTTCGAATAACGCGTTTGCGCCTAAAGCAGTTTTTTGTTTAGTCAATGCAATATGATGAGTGAATTTCAAGTTAGAATGTGATTTTATTCCAAGAATTAAACCGGGCATGACACCGTCCTTCTCATGCGTGCCGCAAACGCATCAGGCTGTCTTGCTGCGCCGCCAGCAAATCACGAGACCACCGACGTCATCATCGTATCACCGCAGTCATCAACCAGTTCAACGACAACAGCTATAAATTGTCAGCAACCACCCGTCAAGCTTTGTGGGCTCTGTGGCTGTGCCATCGCACGGTCCACTAACCCTTTCGTCTTCGCAATGCCGGTTAGTGTACCATATGACCTGTTCACTAAAAGAAATAGCAATTATTTTTTTATATAGCTACCGAGCCCACATTGCTGTTGTGCCCTTGCCATTCAATGCGTGAATGTCGCTCGTGCTCTCGTACTTCTGTCGGGGGACGTGGAATCCAATCCTGGCCCGAACTCTCTCCCTAAGAACCATCCACCTAAAGACAATCCATTCTCAGCAAGCCTTCTTCTTTCCGAGTTGCAAAAGTTATCTACGGGTCAGTCGACACTGCTCGAGGAAGTGCAGGGACTTAAATCTGCACTACTAACAACAAATAAAGCCATGGCTGATGTAACTAAACGTATTACGGAGCTTGAAGTTCCCTACCAAGGTTTTGTGACCGTTGAGAAGGATGTCGAAACAATTCATGGTAACACCGCAATACTGACCCGTCAAATCTGCGACATGGAGGCGCGGGTTGACGACGCTGAAAATCGTTCCAGAAGAAATAACCTCATCTTTTACGGCCTTCCTGATCCGAACCCGTCCGAAAAGTTTTCAAACTCCGAAGAAATACTCATTAACCACTGTCGCGGCCACCTGAACTTTACTCTTGACCCTAAACTTATTGAACGTGCTCACCGCCTTGGTCGGCACCGGCATGATCACAAGCGGCCTATAATAGTCAAATTCACTTTTTTAAAAACCAAAGAGGAAATTCTCTCGAATGGACGCAAACTAAATGGTACTAAATACAGTATTGGGGAAGATTTCTCCGAATCCGTTCGAAAAGCCCGAAAGCATCTTGTTGAATTTGCCCGTACGAAATTTGAGCCCTTCTCCGTGCGGTACAAGACTTTGTTTCTTGGTAAAAAAAGATACGTTTTCAACGGAAATTCCCAAACTGTAAACGAAATATCCTAGCGATCGCCCCGTCGTCCAAAAAAAGAAACAAAACGTGTTAATGTTACAGCACCTAAAACAAGCCTTTCCTTCTCAGTAATCTTCGCTAATATACGTAGCTTTCTTTCAAAAGGCGACATAGTATCAAAGTTTGTATCAACATCTGACAGCAACATACTGGTTCTCACAGAAACATGGTTGAAGGATGACGTCACAGATAGTGAGGTTCTTGCCGAATTGCCAGAGTTTGTTGTTTTCCGGAAAGACAGGAAACAAACACGTGGCGGTGGCGTACTTATCACTGTGAATAAGCAGTTATCCTGTTCACTAATAAATGTCCCTTGCAAGCTGGAAATTCTGTGGTTAGTCTGCCGCGCTGTACCGGAGACAATTCTGCTAGGTGTGTGCTATCGGCCACCAGACAATGACCCGAATTTCGCACAAGATTTAAACGATATACTCAACCAGCACACTGCTAAGTATCCTATCGCGCATATCCTTCTTTTTGGTGACCTTAATCTTCGTGACATCGATTGGCAAGACGCCAACCAATTAATAACAGGCCACTCCAGAACAAAAGAATTCAGTAACGTCTGCATAGATTTTAAGCTAACACAGCTAATAACAGAACCTACACGTATTGCTTGTGAAACTTCTAATATTCTGGATCTAATACTGACAACTAAACCCGAAAGCTTGTCACATATTACATTTCTTCCTAGATATGCTAACACAAAGTTATTTATGTTGTTTTTGAATTCGTCCCTAAACTACGCAAATATGCAGTAAAAGTATACGTCTGTACGACAAGGGGGATTACAACGCAATAAACGCTGAGCTCGAAGCCTTCCTACCTCATTTTGAAACAACATTAAGTGAACGATCAGTGAACGATAACCGGTTAATTTTCGCAGATAAAATTAAGCAGTTAACAAACAACTTTATTCCCAGTACCACCTTCCGTTATAATCAACAAAATCCATGGTTTTCTAAAATTTTAAAGCAACTTGAAAATAAGAAAAAACAACTTTTTCGTGCAGCTAAACATGCAGCTACCGCCAGTGCATGGTATAGGTATAAAGAAGTTGGAACCTTTTATAATAATGCCAATCGAACAGCAAAAAAAACATTTTTTCATACTAATCGTCCGAAGATCTTGGTAAATAACCCTAGGAAATTTTGGGAGGTAATTAACCCTAAGAGAATTCCAGGTATTATTTTGAATAATCCTTCGGGCAGGGAAGTTAGTGATTCTGAATGCGCAGAAGCATTTAACTCAGCATTTGATTCCGTGTTCACAAACGAAACTAACAGTCCCCTTCCGATTTTTCCGTCTCGCATCGTCTCTGTAATGCCCAGTATTGATTTCGTCGCTTCTGGAATAATATCGCTAATAGACAAACTCAATCTCTCTTCTTCAGCGGGATCAGACAACATTACCTCAAAATTTCTGAAAAATACCAAGCACATGTCTGCCATATACTTATCACTATTGTTCTGTCAGTCATTATTCACAGGTAACCTACCAATAAACTGGAAAATCGGAAAGGACATTCCAGTCTTCAAATCAGGCGATAGATCATGTCCTCTCAGTTATCGCCCCATTTCCTTAACAAGCGTGCCTTGCAAGCTCATGGAACACGTCATTTACACCAAAATCATGCACTTCTTGGACTCTAATAACTTTTTTCATTCCGCACAGCTTGGATTTCGAACAAAATTTTTCCCGTGAAACACAACTTGCCTTTTAGTTCATGATCTGCACACTAACCTGGACAATAACATACAGACTGACGCTATCTTTCTTGACTTTGCAAAGGCATTCGACAAAGTACCCCCCAACCACCTGATGTTAAAACTTTCGAAATTAAACTTAGACCCGAAAATTTCAGCTTGGATTCTAGAATTTTCGACTAATCGTTACCAATTCGTTACCGTTAATAAACATAACTCTTACCCTCTGGCAGTAACATCAGGCGTCCCGCAAGGATCTGTTCTTGGACCCCTATTATTCCTAATATGCATTAACGATCTACCTTTTCATGTATCCAGCAATATCCGTATGTTTGCAGATGATTGCGTAATATACCGTATTATTGCTAACACATCAGCCCAAGTTGCCTTGCAAGATGACATTATTCATGTGCTTAACTGGTGCAATCGTTGGCTAATGACACTAAACCCTAATAAGTGCAAGTCCCTCTCGTTTCACCGCCAGCGCAGCCCCCTCACCTATTCTTATCAAATCGGTGAAGTTGCATTGGAAAATGTCATCACATACAAGTACTTGGGAGTCACTTTGAGTAACGATTTATCATGGCGCGTCCACATTACCAATATCATGTCATCAGCTAACAGATCGCTAGGATTCTTAAAGCGGCACTTACGTCATGCTCCCCCTCCTGTAAAACTACAACTTTATAAATCTTTAATTCGCACCCAACTTGAATACGCGTCACCTATCTGGAGCCCTGATCAAGCGTACTTAACCGACGCACTAGAATCGCTCCAGAATAGAGCAACTAGATTCATTCATTCCTCGTATTCGTATAACGTTAGTGTTTCATCTGTTAAACAAGAATCCAATCTTTCAAACCTTAACATTCTTCGCCGAGTTTCCAGCCTCATTTTGTTCCACAAGCTCTATCACAGTCAACTCGGCCACCCGCCCTATATCTTGCCTCCTGCCCTCACGCCTCACCGCACCACTCATTCTTTTCATGTCAGCCGGCCACGCGCCTGCACCACGACATTTTCTGTCTCCTTCTTTTTTCGTGCAGCTTCCGACTGGAATGGTCTTTCCACTGATCTCGCCACCATAATGTGCCACTTAATATTTACACAAAATGTCACTCGTTTCTTTTCAATTTGAATACATTACATTGTTCCTTTTTGTGCCACTGGTTCTCACTTTGTCTTTTTTTTTGACAAGGTGTTACGCCTGGTAATATGTATACTAATCCTGCACATGTATTATTTTATTTCTGTATTGTTTACCCCTGTTCATACTTGTACCCATCATGCATAAGTATTACGTTTGTTGTATGTCTCCCACCCCTTATGTAATACCCCCTCTAGGGGGTCTTTAAGGTAATAAAGTGATGTGAAGTGAAGCTTACTAAAGGAGCGCCTTTTTTTCAATTTACTTGGTTTACACCCCGCGCTTACAACCAATTTCTTACAAGAACCTTTCACTTAGGCACCCCTCATTGGCGTTATTGGAGTCAAGACTGCTGAAGCCACTCAATTCGCCCTGCAAAACTCTCATGCATGCCATGTGGGCACGACGTTTTGAGTGAGTTTCCCAGACAGGCAATCGCAACACAGTTTTTTTACTATTTTAGAGATACCCGAATTGAAGTTGATGATAGGTTTAACACTACGGGGGGAGTACATTGAACACACGTGGCTTCCACCAAAAAATATGCTGAGGTTAAAGAGCTGTATGCAACCATTGTCGGGAACCTCAAAAATGAACCTCAGCCTCGACCCCAACTTTTTGAACAACTTAAGAACAACAATCCCGGTACATACGCGCCGACAGTCTTCAACGAAAAACTTGTAATTGTCTACGTATCTGAAGGTTTTCACCAACACTAAGATCAATGCAGTCTCTAGGCCTTGGTCAACCACACTCAAAAAGGTTTCACTCAAACATGCGGGAGCCTCGACCCAACACTCTAAGGCAAAATGGTGTTAAAAGATTGGGTAATCTGTTATTTTGGAGACTAATGGGACTGCCACAACCAATAATTCTTTTAGGGACTAACAGCACTGGGTCTCACAGCTAGTGTGCACAGACCAGCTTAAGAGACTAACATTTAGCCCTGACATTGACACCTTATTGGGGAACCATTAGTCCCACAAATCACCACAAAGAGCTAACATTTAGTCCTTATATTTACACTTTATCACGCAACCGTTAGTCCCCATATTTAAATCTTGCCGACCAACCATTATTCTTCACAGTTGCGCCTCGCCGGATGAATGATTGGCCCACTCATACACTCCAATCGGGTGAACTTTTTATCCTCAGTTGAAATACTGTTTTTCTATTTACTCTCTGTCTGGTCTAATACTTTTTCGCCTGTTTTTTCTTTTGCGCAGTGAGAGACAAATGGCGCAGATGAGGACACGCAAACAATTATTTAGTCACATGTGTGTCGCTGCTTCCTCAGTCACTGCAACAACGAAAGAAAAAGTGAGACATTCAAATCTTTTATTTTTCTCTATACACTAGAAGTTTCTCAATTCTTTAGGAGAATTTATGGTCAAACGTACAAGTCCAGCCTCGTTGTCACATCTCATTGTGAAGCTTCTCCAATGGAAGCGATAGATGACAGGCATTGCAGATGTCAGCGCACACCATACTCTGCGTGTTGTCTGCCCACGAGTGTACAATAAGAGAGTAAAAACATTTAGTCACACGTGACAGAAGGTGAGGATGCACGCATATGACAAGTACGTACAAGTTGATATAACATACATGGGAGATCAACCAAAAGTTTGAAGAATCCCGACGTTTCGAAACCGACTTGGTTCATTTCCTCAGGGGTGACTGTGAAGACAACGTAGCAGCGGCGTCTTCAGAGCACTCGCGGGGCGGATAATGACTCCCCCCTCTCTCTCGTTTTGCCGTGGAGTGCAAATCACGTGTATACACTGGGAGAAGGGTTTCGAGAGAGCGGTTGATGTTATGGTCTGTTTTCTATATGTGCCACGACTCTAGTAATTACCTTCTCCTCCAGCTCGGTTCGCTTTCAAGGATGGCCGTCGCTTCGGAATCTATCCGGGGATCCAACGTCTACGCATGTTCGGCGACTGCGCTGTGCTCTTTGTAGAACTTCCGCACATCGTCGGTGTGTTGCTTCAGTCGTTCCGGTAGGTTTTTCTTCTCGCTGATATACGAAGAGGGGCCCTCGGCGCACAGAATTTTGTAAACGACACCGGGGGTCCTGTTCATTATTGGTCGGGCTTTGTGGCGGGGGAAGAAGCGGCCCAGCGTACACGAAGGCACGTGC